TTTTTTATGGTCCCCTAGATCAAAAAAAGCAATTAAGAGTTGGGCTTTAAAATATAATCCAACTATAATCTCCTGGTGCATTCTCAGTGTTCTAAAGTGAAAAGCTACAGGGTCTGCTTTCCTTTAGAGGTATTTAACCTTTGGGGAGTATCTCACCAAAACTGAAGTTCCTTTTGCAAAAGATCCCTTAAATTTGGCTCAGTGAGAGCTATTGGCTCCTGCTGCTGTCAGTCAAATCCAGTGATGAGGAAGCAGGGAGTGGGGCTAAGCCACACAGTGTGTGTCAATAGACATACACAGCCTGGCTTGGGATCAAGCCTGCACATGTGCCAATATAGGAAGCGGCTTCCTATGGTGGCACACAGAGAAGAGGAGGAGCAGAGAATGCCAGAGGGGGGACCCCAGAAGAGGAGGATCGGGGCTGCTCTGTGCAAAACCATTGCAATAACTTTAACCACCTACTCAGCAGCTCCTTCTTCTTCTTTTAATCCTTGCCTATGTTGCAGTTTAAGCTGGTGCCATGACTGCTGCCCCATGTGTTTTTTAGTTTCAGGGTGGCTTCTTTCTTTTGCAGTGCCCTATGGTGCCGCCCTTGCATGCAGGGGCTAGGGCTGTGTCCCCCTTTACCGTGCGTATCAATAAAAAAAACACACAGCTCCATAGCCAAGGCAGCACGGCACTCCCCTGCTGTGCCTTTCTCCAAGCTAACAGACTGGCTGGAAACTGTGCTGTTCACTGATAATGCTTTCTTGTGAAAGCAGAAGTTCAGGGAAGCAGTAACGAGAGTGCAGGAGCCAGCAGCATTGAAAGTTGTAACCTACAAGTGCTGCAGTAAGAATTTTAACATATAGTTTTACTGGGGGTGTTTATTTTACTATAGTGTGGGAAACTAAAAAATACTATGTTCCTTGATATATTCTCTTGCTAATGAAGTCACTAAATAGACACTGCTCATATTTGTCCAAATGGGATATTTGCAGCCTATAACAGTATGCTTTTGATAACTTAGTATTAGTGCTACTAATGCAATAGTAGTAATATGTTAATATTTATACGTTTATTTAGTAAGCCAAAAAGTAAGGGAAATGAAAATGCGGGAAACCTGTAGCAACCAATTGGCATGATGGGTTTTGGGGGTTTTTTTTTTTTTCATTTTTTGTTGTAAATAGAATACATGTTTGTTTGCTATGTGTAATTTTGCATTGTACATCTTTTCCCTGCCTTGTTCTGCTATTGAAATATGTCACTCAGGAACTCTCAATATTAGGTCCATTTGTACCTCTGGCACAGCACAACCTGGATGGCATCAGCAGCTCTATTTATCTTTGTGTGCCAGCATCAGGTGGGGAAAACTAACAGAGCCATGTGTAAATTTGCTGAGAGGGGAAAGAAAGCCACAAGCATGAACATGCATCCATTGTGATATAGCACTCAGTGATTATACATGATGATAGATTAATGCCTCCTACACATTTTGCTTGGTTCTTATGTGAATCTGACGCTTCATTGTTTCAGGAATATAAATTATTGTGTAGATGTACCAGTATGGCTGACAGACTTTTTATGTTTTAGCTGGGGAAATAAACAAAATTTTCAAGTTTAAGATGTAGTTAAAATAGGTACATCAGCTTTGACAGGTCAGTAATGCTGCATGACATTGTTATGAGTCTGATGTCTCCTTTGATATAATGTAATTGTTTTTATGTGCTTATAGCGATTATACATATTATATAAATGTGCAATTATTTTCATAGGCGCATTAAAGAAACATGAAATGTCACAACAGTAAAAGGCATCTATGTACTACATTCTATTGTCTTTATATACACTTTATGTTTCTATTATAAGGTTTTTCTTTCATTTATGCAAAGCATACATTCATAGTACAAGGCCTCGTGCACGGGGCTTAAAAAACACCACTTTTTTAGGTGTTTGGCTTTTCTTCTGCCTGTAAACACACCTGTATGTTAGCCTATGTATCTATACACACGTAGGCATTTTCAGACATATTAGAAGAGGAGCTTTTACAGACAGAAAACAAAAAACATCACCACTAGATTCAGGAGAGGAGCTTCTGGGTAGAAAAAAATATACTTTTATGCATACAAATGCTACACGCATTTAGGCACATTCACGTGTTTACATATTAATGCATTCTAATGGCCAGAAAAAAATTAATATTCTTGCCAATAGATTGCATTAAAGCAGGGGTGGCAAACTGGCAGCCCTCCAGCTGTTGCAAAACTTCAAGTCCCATCATGCCTCTGCCTTTGGGAGTAATGCTTGTAACTGTCAGTCTTGCAATGCCTCATGGGACTTGTAGTTTGGCAACAACTGGAGGGCTGCCAGTTTGACACCTGTGCATTAAAGTGTTAATAAACCCACAACAGTAAAATCAGTCTGTATATGCAGTAAAGCATGCTTGTTATATTCACTGTTGAAATTAAGGGGTTAATCCTCTGCATTGTGTAAAAAGGCTGTTTGATCCTTGCTTCTCTGCCCCTCCTCTTGTTGAAATGACCACCTGATACAGACTGAATCCGTAGTCACATGCACATGCTCAATTTGGTGTGTATTTGTAGAGAGGTTTTTTTTTTTCTTGGGAGAGTGCAAGTGATCAGCACAGGGCCAATCAGCACTGCCCAGACAGAGGTCAGGGGTTTCACATCCTCCTAGAGCAGAAAGAAAACTCCTCCTATAAGCTTTAACCAGTGCTCTGCTGAAGTCACAAGACTGCTCTAACTGCTGATGAGAAAAGGTATTTAGCAGTTTATATTTACAAAAATAATTGCATTTCCATGTTGTGTATACTGTGGGAGGACAGATATAGTGAATGCAGGGTCCGGGGTTTAGTAACACTTTAACATTAATAAATACAAATATGTATAAACACATGTGTGACTTTTACCATATTTGTTAAGCAGATTCTCTCTTGCAAGGACAAAAAAACATTCAGAGTTGAGCAAACACAGTTAGTATGAGGCCTATATCAGTTTCTGTAGGGATTAGCTCTCCCTGTAGTTTTTGGATGTGCTATGTCAAATAGACAGACTAGGAAACAGATTAGCCCCAGTTCACACCTTAATGTTTTGAAGTGCTTTTCTAGAAGTGAACATATGAATTTCCATTGTAACCTATGGTGCCTTTTCATACCTGAGCGTCGTGTTGCTTTAAGTATATAGATGTACACCAGCATGGAAATAATACAAGCTTTAGTCAAAGAAAGATTAATAATAATAATACATACAATTCGCAAACTGATATTACCAGCAAAGGGCCCAACAGTAGCTTTGGTGGAATTGTGCAGGATGGATCATGATGCAGCATCCATCTTTGTGTTGGAGACTTGAAGACAAGACCAGCTGTAATGGGTAGATCTTCAACCAATTGTCCCACCAACCTTGAATGCAAATTCCCACTAGCAGATACCGTTTTGTGACACTGGAGTCAGCCTATGTACATTGCATCTTAGTCCCTAGTGGCTTCCTATATGCTATCAGAAGTGGATGTCAGATGCCTAACCTGATGCTAGCCTATGCTGGTTATTGAACCTTGAGGTAAAACTAGGGATAGAATCCCAGACCAGATTGGACATGGTTAACTAAACTAACATGAGCTGCATATAAACTCTCCTGCAAAATACAGGTTCACCTACCAAAATACAGCAAGGTAAGCACGACACACATAAAGTAGCATAGACCTAGCTATCTTTCACTGTGAGATGTGAGAAATAAGTTTGTCACAAGAAAATATTCAGAGTTGCCATGCTGTGAATAATAGTAAGCAGGTTAACTTGTATCGTTAAACCCAAATCATCAAAAACTATCAATACATGCTATATTACATTGTGTTCATACTCACTAATCCACTAGAGCATTTGCTTTCCTGTAGACTGCAACAATCCAGGTTGATCCTGCTGTTCACTGTCCCTCTCTCCCTGTATGTGTCCCCACTGCAGCCTGGAATTGTGTACACCAGCTGTTGACATCTACTGAGCATGCTCCAGTTTCAGTTCCCTGTTCCTTTGCTTGTTTTTCTTATCTATGCTGCCCATATGACTAAAGAGTCATACATGTCAGCGTATACACAGTGGTAAATGACACTCCCCTCTCTCCTCCTCTATGTCCTCAAATTGCTAAACATGGTGGGGGCGGGATATATGATGGTGATTTATGGAGATTTTACCTCCCTCTTAGTTCCAGTACATACACATCTTTGAGACTGGAGGGGCACAGCACAGTCTGTGATTGACAGATCCTCCAGATCTCTTTACAGCATAAACAATGAAAGCTATTGTCGTTCAACTTAAACTCTGTCATGCTACTGCAAAAAATAATAAACACTTGTTTTGAAATTTAGATTTGTATGAAACGTTATAACATGTCGCTATTTCTTTTAATTCTCTATTCTGAAAGCTTATTGTTATGTCATGTGACCAGAACAGCACCAATCATCGCTGTGCAGACACAGATTCATATATTAACAGAGTGTTAGAAACTCCTATCTTTCCTGAGGACAGGAAAGACCTGGGACGCATCATGTGACCTCTGAACAGCAATGATCAAATAAAGTACTCAGATAATTTTTTAATATTGCATTGAATACAGTGGCATGATATTTTACATAACTAGAAGGGGTAATGGCAATAAAACATGGTGGGGTTTATTTACTAAAGCTGGTTCACAATCTGTGCATGGTAGCCAATCAGCTTCTACCTCCAGCTTGTTCAATTAAGCTTTAGCAATAAAACCTTGAAGCTGATTGGTTTCTATGCAGAAGTTCATGAGATTCTGAGTAAACCAGCTTTAGTAAATAAATCCTGGTATGTTTAGGATCATGTTAAGAGCCAGTAATGCCCCCTATAACCAGCTGTCCACATATTTAGCAAGCAGGTGATACACAAATACTATATACGCAAATATAGATTATTCTACTCATAATTATATGTAATGCAGTTGTGATTTTCCTAGTGCTGTCCCAAACCTTGATGCACTTGAACATAGTTTAACCTCCCTGGCGGTATTCCCGAGTGTAGCTCGGGGTAAAGTTTCAGTACCACAAGCGGTAACCCCGAGCTACTGGCTACCGGCGCTGCTCAACGATCCCTCGATCACTTACCTTGTCCTGCGGTCCCGCGATGTCCCTCCTGCAGTGTCCCCAGCAATGTAATCCGGCGGATGGCAGCATCTGTCATCTGGGTTCCGTCCCCTGTGAGCGTCAGGACGTACGGGGACGGAACGGTGGGAAATTAAAAAATTACAAAAAGTGACATTCCCTACAATCACTAAAATCACATAGTATAACATTACTGTATCAAACCATTTCACATACATTTTGTCCCGAGTGCTTTGTCCTGTGCCCTGCCTGCAATTTTACTGTTCTTTCTGCCTGAAAACTGAGAAATGTCCATGGCGTCCAAAAAGCGTCCCTTTAGGTCTAAAGCGGTTTTAGACCAGCTAGAGAACAGCGATAGTAAATCAGAACCACTTGCAGAATTGAGTGATAATGATTTGTGGGGAAATTCGTCATCAGACACTGACAACGATTTTGCAACTTTGCTCAGTGATGTGCGAACTTGGCGCTATATTTCGAATTTCAGTGTTTTTGGTTTGATTATATTATTGAAATAAATTTATTATTATTATATTATTATTTTTTATGATTATTTATTAAATTATAATTTATGATTTCGTGTTTCAAGTTTTATCCTACCCAGGATGTTTACTAGACTCTTGTTCGGACAGATTTCAGTGAGTTATTCCTAAAAATTACAGGCCTACTATAAAAAAAAATACATATTTCCATGCAAAAAAATGTACCGCTTTGAGCACAGAAATATGGACATAATCAGACCGCTAGGGAGGTTAAACAGATTTAAAATTTTTGAATATGTGTAATATCAACACTCAATTTAATTAAAGGGTCACTTAGCTATATTGATTCAAAGGCACGAGTGAACCTTTCTCACTGCCATAGTGATTGTAGTAATTATGTTCATAGTCATACCGTATTTCCAGTGCTCTATAATGAAATGGGTGGAAGCTGGTGTACAGCAATATTCACTATATCTCCACTAAAAAAAATATTGCTGTTTTTATAGTTGTAGCAGGCTCCTCACAAGATTGGGATTAGTTCTTAGCACATATATGGGCTAATTTACTCAACATAAAACAGAAGGAAAAGTGTTAAAAAAAAAAAAAAACAGGGTTGCATTCATTTTCAATCTTGTATTGGTAAAAGCCCTCTGGAAGCTGACATCTATGGGTGACAAATACCGTAAATTTTAATTTCCCGCAGTCTCTATAATCATTCTTTAGTTTTGTATTTACCCAAAGTGAAACCATGATGGAAAGGGGTTGATAATCGCTGCACTACACAATTGCCTTCAGCATCGAGTAAATATTCTGCAAACTATTTACTTTGTGCTGTTTATATGGCTCTGTTAATACTGTTGAGGAAACTGTCCTTCATTAATAATATAGATTTAATTTAGCAAAGGACTGAGGACCCAACAAATGCAGATGATAAGAATATTTTGTAAAGCTAATGATATAGTGAGGAGAAGCACAGAAAAAGTGTTTAGAGTAGAGAACATGGGCAGTGGTACAGATTAGGTGATTTATGCAGAGGATCTCCGGTGCAGGAAAGAGCAGTAAGTGATGAAGTCTGCATACATAAAAGAATGTGTAGTGATCTTGGAAGAAGGAAAATGACATTGAGAAGTCATATACAGTAAGGTAGCAAGGCACATGTTAGCAAATGCTCTCACTCGGAACAAAGGGCTATAACCATAGTAATCGCCATGTTTGTTGTTGTTCTGATCTAGCTTTATTCCGTTAGATCTGATTGGCTGCCACGAGTTCTTGAATTTCGCACATCTTTGGGATCCTTTATTGAACAAGCCCTTGTGTGATAGATTATGTGAAATAATTTGAATTTCTAATGTTGCATATATAAATTTGCACATGATAAAGAATGTTCAAAACTAGTTTTTGAAGAAGGAACCGCACTGAAAAGTGTTTCATGCAGATATCCCCACCTCTAGCCCTGCAATAACTACAGACTACAAGAGAAAACTAATGCTATTCAGCACCTACTGCAAATGAGACAAATTCAGAAAGTTTACTTAGGTCACCTAAGTGGAGTTCTGTGTAATCCTCTTCAGCCAGAAACCAGAAAGCACCCTACAGTTTGAGTTTGAGTAGGCTCTCTGAAGCTTGTTAACCTCTCCCTCTCCCTGCCTCCCATATCGTCAATTTTGTTCAATCTTCCAAAACAGGTTTGAATCTTGATTGACAATTGTTTCACATTAAGCTGTTTCTGTGTGAGAGATAGCAAGGAGTGTGCAGTGAGTGTGTTTGAGATTAGCTCTATGGAATCACAAACAATGGTTCTCAGATCACAAGGGTACTGACAAAAGTAATACTTGGGTGAAAACATAGACTGCATATAAGAAGCACAGCCTACATTGACAAGTAATTTAAGCCTGTAATTTACTGTAGGGGGTGACAATTTAATTCCCGGAATGCCACTGGCATAGCACTATGGTGGTGAGTCACACAACCATTCGCACTCAAGCATGTTCTGACATGTTCTAATTTGCACTTACCTGGGTTGCATATGGGTAGGTGGTGCTCAGAGCCCACGTTCAGAGTAACAGGAATATATTGTAAGCTCGAAAGAGCAGGGCCCTCAATCCCCTCATGTTTTGCATTGTATTGGTATTGTTCTGTCACATGTTCTTTCCCCTTTGTAATGTACAGCGCTGAGCGAACTATTGGCGCTTTATAAATACTGTATAATAATAATAAAATAATATTGCAATTGAAGTTTGGTAGTACAAAACAAGCCTGATGGGAAGGCAACTTGACTTGAACCACTCAGAGGATGTAACAACAGTGTATCAGTATGTCTCAGGTGTGCCAACAGAGTCTGTCTCAAGGAGCGGAATACAGACTGGCCAGTCCATACCTAAGTGAGGAGGCTTTCAGGTAGAATGGCAAGTCCTTGCACTTTCCCTGCTCCTCTGGAACCTTTCCCTGACACTTAGCACTGTCCCTGACAGACAGGAAACCTGTTCCTACTCAATCCACACACAAAATGTATGCCAAGCCCAGGAGCCAAGGTCTTAAGTAGACTCTGCCTGACCCAAGATGGCCCCCAAAGTCACATGGTGTGCCAGCATCCAATCAGATAGCTGCCTTCTGTGACCCAGGAAACCAACTGCTGCAGTTGAGAGCCACCTGCAGTGGAGAACATAGACTGCACCTACCTGTAGGCAAACCAGTTGTCTCCGTCTTTATGGAGTAGTAGAAGGAATAACACATCTGTGCATTGCAAGTGCAAGTGAAACTTTAGCTCTGTTACAACAGGCTTATGGTGAACACTCTATGAGGAAATCAAGTGTTTTTGAATGGCATAGGTGATTTAACTAGGTGCAGGATGACGCAAGAAGTGGCCAGCCAAAAACACAATGTGGACAATGTGTGAACCTTTGTGCTGAAGACTGATTGTGGGAATGATGGCAGAAAAATTGAACATGAAAAGGGAAACAGTGCGGTAGATTCTAACAAAAGATTTGGGAAAGTGAAAGCTTTCCACAAAGATGGTACCTTGAATCTTGACAGAAGGTCAGAAAGAACATCTTCAAATTTTATTCAATCTCTCGAAGAATTCAGAGGCATTTAATATATTTTTTTTTCCAGTCCATTCCCGGAATTAAATTGTCACATCTTGTACATTTAACAAAAAATTGAAGGGAAGAAAATTCAAAATTCATGCACTATAGTTCATGGAAGAAGGTTGACAAAAAATTTAGATGAAAATGTTTTCTCATGCTGTTCCCTAATGGCAGGACCCATAATCACCTTACATCTTGGCAGGAATGGCTCCAGTTTAAAAAGAAACTTCACAGACATTATGGTTACTTGAGGTCTGTTTGGTTTTATCATCCCTAAAATAATCAAATGGACCTATGATCTGGGATTAGCTTTCCAATTAAAGTGCTAGCCAACAATGTTAGTCTAAACCAGGCATCACTAAATGGCGGAGCTCAGGTCCGGGATGCAGACCTAGCCACTGTTTCATCTGGACCCAGTCACGCCATTTAGGAGCCACTTCTTTCCCCCCATCCTCTGTTGCTGTTATAACAGCAGAGTGGACAGCAGGAGACAGAACATTTGTGGAGTGAGTGTGGAATAACAGCACAGTATTGAACACAGTGCAGGAGCGGGAGCTGTCATAACATTTTTGGATCTGATGCGGGAAGCACAACACAGCACAGCATTGAATAGAGTGTGGGAGCTGCTGGGGTTAACTTTTTAAGTTAGCCAGCGGCTGATTGGAAGCAAAATCAACTGCTGGTTAATACAAAAAGTTAACCCAGGCAGCTCCAGTGCTCTATTCAATGCTGTGCTGTACTTCCCGAATCTGATCCAGAAATGTTATGACAGCTCCCGCTCCCGTGTTCTGTTCAATACTGTGCTGTCATTCCACACTCGCTCCAGAAATGTTCTGTCTCCTGCTGTCTGTTCTGCTGACAGGGGGAACAATGCTGTGGAGGGAGAGATGTAAAGGGGGGAGCAGTGTTGTGGTGGGGGGATGTGAAGGGGCAGAGGACAATACTGTGGGGTAGGGATGTGAAGTGGGGGGTGAAGTTGGTGTGAAGAAGGCTGAGTATACTACTGGGGGGGTGTGAAGGGGGAAGTGCTGTGTGTGTGTGTGGGGGGGGGGGTTGATGTGAAAAGGGCAGAGAACACTACTGTTGGGGGGGGATTTATAATGTGAGGGGATGAGGTGATGCTGTTGGGAGAGATGTGTGAGGGACAATGCTGTGGGGAGGGAGATGTAAAGGGTGAGCAGTGTTGAGGAGGGATGTGAAGGGGGCACAGTTCTGCTGGGGGGTGATGTGAAGGGGGCAGAGAACAGTAGTATGGGGTGGGGGTGATGATCTGAAGGGGGGTTGAGGACTGCTGAAAATAATGGAAGTGTGTGATGTGAAGGGGGTTCAGTACACTACTGTAAAGGGGTGGGTATGATGTGCAGGGGGCCTGAGAACACTACTGTGAAGGTGAAATTGATGTGAAGTGGAGGACTGTGACATGTAGGGGGGTACAGAGAACACTGAAGAATAGAGATTGTGATATACAGTAGGAGATGGCTGAAAACAAAATGCGGTTCGGATCTCTGTTGGAAGAAAATTTTACTGGTCGGACTTCCGTGAATTTTAATTCAATACCCCTGGTCTAAACACTAAGCTCCCAGATGTCACGTTAAGATAAGTACTTATTCTTTGTTGGACTTTCTGCAGCCGATGGTGAGAAAAAAAATCCTG